TTTTATTATTTTTTTTTTTAATTTTTTTTTTTTTGACAAGTGTCCATTGAAAAAGGGAAAAACTATTAGATAAAGGACTTGAAGTGTTTGGGTGCTGAGATTATATGTTCCAGCCTTGAAAAAAAAAATTATATTAATATGTATAAAAAATGATTTGAGTAGGCAAAGTACTGTACCTTGGGTAACTGAGTATAGAATGTTTTTTTTTTTAGAACAATGTCAGTGTTGTTACATCAACACAAGAAATATAAGAAAACTGAAACCCAAGACAGAAAAAAATAATAATTCCCCATTGTGTATATACTACAGGGGTAACTGATGTACCAAAAGTTTATCAACAGGCTAAAGTAAAACATGCATTTAATCATACAATGAAATGATATAGAAAGCGTTAATACAAACTACAAGACATCAAAATGCATATTCAAACAGTGATTGATTAAAGTATTATATAGAAAATATGAACAATTGTATACAATATTAATTACAAAACAAAGTGAAGTCAAAGGCAATAACTTTGCCTAAAGATTTTATTTTGCATGCCTAGTTTTCGTGCACTAATTTCCAAAATGTGAGGCTATGAACAGAGTAAAGCTGAGTAAGACAAATACTTTTGGGTTATCCTAAATTTAAAGAAAAAAATAATTACCAGGCTGAAATTGTTTAAAAAATAGTTTTTTTAATTATAAAACCCAGAGGGGACCGCTACTAATGAGGGCTGCATTTTCAAAGGTGGCGAGTCTAGCTGAAATAGGAACTAGCATTCCAGAAGCAACATTTTAAAGACATGCAAAAATGAGAAATGCACAATATTCAAGAAACTCAAATGATCCCAAAATTCCAAAAAAAAAAAAAAATCTGGTAAAGCATGCAATGTTAGAGTTTACAAACTAGGCTTGTACTAAATGAGTTATCATAATTATCTCAAAACTTGTACACACTTATTAAGAAAACAAGAAAAACTAAACATTCTTGAAAACATTTGAATTTTTATCTTTATAATTAAATATAATCAGTTATAGCAACTGTAACAAAAATATGGAAGACAATTATTTCATTTTTCCTTTTTTTGGACATTCAAAGAATGCATACACTTTCAGATAACTATTCGGTGAAACAAACTACATACTTAAAACAATAGACAATTTTTAAACTTTAAATAACTTAGTAAATACTGTTGTATGTGTGATTTGATCAGGATTTCTCAGTATTGTCAGGCTTATGCCTGTTCTTTGGTAGGATATTATGATTTCAATTTTACTCCGAGCATATGTTAATTATATTGATAAAACGGGAAAAACAAGTTTTCCCCAATCAGACTTAATATTTTACTCCAACTTTCACCTGACAATTCTGAGAAATACTCTGAAAAAAAAAATCACAGATGGGGAAGATTAAAAAAAAAATGTTTATCCTCTCGTGGTACAAGAGAAATGGTTCTGATGAATTATAAGTGACCAAAAATAAAAAAAATATGACATGACAACAATAGAATGCTGTAGCAAAGGGCTTGTGTGTCATCACCCATGTCACATTACTGGGCCATCTCAAGGTAGTTGCACAGATAGTTCAAAATGACAACAAAAACAAGAAAATAATCTCCATGGTACACAGAGTTCCAGAGAAAAATTCCCACTGCTGGTGCTTGTGTTTTGAGGTTTTAAAATGACAGAAACATCAACTACATATTTGACATTTTAAGATGACATCAACATACTTGAGATTTTAAGATGGCTAAAGCACTAAATTCATAAAATATATATTTTTTTTAAACTGTTTCCCTATCAATTATAAATACTCATCCTGCATAATGAAAATTATTTTAAGTTCTCGAAGTATACATTAACATTTTGTTGACAATTTTAAAATGTGTAACAAAACAGTAACGAACAAATTCCTGTGTAAAAAAAAAACATTCTTTGGTGCCCAGACCATAAAATTGCTTATTTTTATCACACCAACTGTTTTCTACAAACTTAAAAAATAAAATATCGACTAGTGTATAAAGCAGTCCCTCACACCTGGGTGCGAGCACTAAACAAGGTACAGGTGAGTATCTGAGATTTGATTGGATGAAAACGTCAGCATTGGCCTTGAGTTTCCCATTAAATACTTTGTAGCCCTCATGAGTCTGTGCTAGAACAGCTGAGGTATATAAAACATGGGTAAGCATGAGAAGACTAGATCATGTGGACCATACACAACTGTTGTGTGATCAGTGTAAACAAAGAAAACTGTCAGTGTAGCAGTTTTTGGTTTAACTACAGCACAGTTTTAACAAGAGAATGTAAGATTGACCTTGCTAGCACCATTGATTTGACTATAGGGTTTTCTTTGTGTGTGCACAAGTTAGGATAATGACGCAAGATAATGGTTTTAATCAGCTTAGTTTGATCAAACAGCTGTTTTGGGTTTGTGTTCAGCTTAACAAAAATGTATATTTTCTAGCAGAAAAATGTGTCTAAAAAAAAATTTTATTAAAATTTTTTAAATATCAATAGAGAACAGAATTAGTGATATTGGATTATTGACGATTTTTAAATGATACTATAACAAAATTTAGAAATATTTTCTTTTGTATTTTAAAATAATTCAGAGGCTATCAACAATAGCTCATTAATTATTTAAATTCTAAATAGGGAAAAAAAAAATTAAATTCATATCTAAGATTTTGTCATTCTTTGGCCAGATTTAAAAAAAAATTAGTTCATTTAATTTTTTGTTGCCACTGATTTGAATTATTTGTCTGCATTTGTCAGTAAATCTCACTGAAATAAAAGCATAGGCCCCACTACACTGCGCACAGGTCAACAGAATTTATTATAAAGGTGCAAATTATTACTTATTGCACGCTGATGAAGTCATTGAATAAAACTACAAAGACACAAAAAGGAAGAATGAGCATTGTGCTCTGGTAAACATTTTTGATTGTTTCCCTTCTCACTATTGCAACACTAGTGAGTTAACAAGACATTGAAATATCAATAAGAAAAATAAACTGGTTCACAGACTAACTAAATAATACAACAGCCAAGAGAAGACAAAATCTCTGACTATGTACACTTCCTCCTTGTAGAATAGTGAATAAATGCAGTCAAGTAGTTAAAAAAATTAAAGAAAGTCATTTAATATCAATAGTTGTGCAGGTTTTTTGTAGTTTTTGAGATGATCAAAGACAGTTGTTTCTAGAAAACTGTATATGAAAGAAGAGGGGGAAAAAAGCTTCAATAAAGAAAGACTACAAGTTTTATACCAAGGAGGCAAGACTATTTTGGCAAGTAAAAGCATTGTTCCGCTACCTGGTTAAAGTTTTTACTTAACAAACGAAATTGATAATGGAAGATAAAAACACTACATTCACATACATGATTTAGCAGTATTAAATTATCATTCTTCTTGTTTGAGTTATTAAAATAACTGTACCTGTACAATATAAAAAAGAAAAACTACTTCTAATCTGGATATCATCTAGAGAAAGCTGGCTATCAAGCTATCTAAATAAGAGAATTTTTGCCTTTCAGCACTTTTTACACATTTAAACAATTTCTAAATTTTAAAAAATCTCTCCTTATTCAATTTTTCTCTTCACACAGTGAAAATGGATGTAAAAATATCTCATGATCAACAAAGAAATTTTAAGTTAACATATCAGCCACTTACAAGCACAAAATTTCAACATACCGCATCAGAGAAAAAAACATTCAAACTGTAAGTTTTGGGTCAAAATTTTACAGACCCAAGTAAAAGCAGTGAACTTGTGTGTTTGATGACAACAAATTTGTTTACATTTTAAAAATAAAAGCAAAAAAGAAATAATTATAATATGTATATATATGTATATATGTCACATTGACACTTTGGTAAATACATGTTACAAAAAAAAGTGATTATTTACAAATGAAGAGAATACTTTTACTGGCATCTGTACACATGTCTAATGATCAAGGGAAGAACTGGATGTGTGAGTGTTGGGAATCAACAATTCAACTAAGCAGTTCAATCAGCATTGCTCGAGCAAACTTCAGCAGAGTGGATGTACAGTTTTTTCCTTTACAGTTTTTTTTCTTATCACCTCTACGACAGGTCCTACGCAAAGCCGCTTAATTTCTTTATCATTTTCAACTGGAGAAAATTACTACGATAGGCAGAATTTAAAGAAATCTGCAAAATAAATTTTTGATTTAACTAGCTTGAAAAAAAAAATTTGTTCAATAATACAGTGACTAGTGGATTTAAAATTGGTTTTAAAAAATTGCTTTTAGGAAGCTTACGAGATTAAGGTATATTTCTATCAAATCTTTTACAAGAGTAAATGTATTTAAATCCTTGTAAAAGTTATAGGAAAAAACACACAAATAATAATTCAGTATCTAGTCAGTGAAGACAGATCCAGCTCATTTAAAAAAACACGGAATATAAAACATAGGGGACACACTTGTACACATCATGTCTACGACTAATATTTTCTCACATACGCCAGAGACTGAAGTAGGTAAAATATGCGTACAATAATACATAAAGGTTACACAGACAATTGACTAGATAAATTTGTTCCAAATAAAGCTTAGAGTTTTGAGTATTTGTAAACAGATTCTTCTCTCCAACATAAAGCCACCCCCCCAACCTGTGTAACTAACCTCTCCAGAGACTCCATAAAATAACTCTTTGAGATTGAGAAAGAAAAATGTACAAAAAAAAATAACAAACCTGTTAACATAAGGGAAAAACTGTAGGGGTGGGGGTGAATGGGTTAAGGGCGGGGAGAAGGGGGCGGGAACCAGGAAAAAAATACAGTTCTCGTCTAGGTTAAACAGTCTTCAGCAAGAATATCACTGGTTTTTAAACTATGTATAATTTAAAAAACAAAACATTTGACATGGGTTTTACATTTTTTTTTTTTTTAAAATGAAAAAAAAAAAGCATTAAAACAGTGTCAATTATTTACATAAGTAGTGTAGATACTAGAGATAATCAACTTAAAAGTCTTTGACGGCTTTTTTTGTTTTTAAAAAGTTAATAATACTAAATAAAATGAAGAAGTTGAATTGGAAGTCCTGTTCCTTGAGTGTCTGATGTAAAATTCTAGGCTGAAGCTTGGGGAGTGGTCCAGCCCTGCCATGGAGAGTTTGAAACAGAGGCTACTTCAAGTCCTTTTCATTGAATTTCCTCCCTTATATAATGCTTGTTTTCAACAGTGTAATCAGTTAAAAATACATAATGCTAGTAGGGTGCGAACCGTTGATAACCTCCTCGATAGACTGTTGCCTACAATGGAAAAAGTAGGTGTGTGTGTCAACTGAATGACAATATGTTCTTTCACTGATACGCTTCAAACTCCACATTACAAACTGGGGGGTATTATTTTCTATCAGGAGAAATCTTGATACTTCATGTTACAAATTGGGGGAAATATGATGTATCAGGAGAAATGCTGACACCCTTGATAAAAGGGACACAATTTGTTCTTTCTCTGACAATCAGGGTACGCCACACAACAAAGGGAAATAAATCACTTCTCGTTTTTAGACTAGGTTCTGTTTCTAAGTACCGGAAAAAGTTGTTAAAAAGTCACAAGAAGCTATGATAAAAACAAGTTCCTCACCCCATAACCAGCAACTGGGCCAATACTGTGTCCGATGTAGGGTTCAGCAGCGAATTCCCTGCCGTAACTGCAATACAAAATGTCACTGCTGTGAGTTGAAAATTAAAAGAGATGTACTCAAGTAAAGGTGAGGCATTCTGCATATTACTAGGTCAGGCAATGTGGTTTAAATATTTAGTATTTAACTACAGATATACTCATATAATCATAAACATTCTACATTTAACCAGTCAAGACAGTGTTATTTGACTTCAAATTTAAAAACAACTAATAATTTAAGCATGAAAATATAGTATAATTATATATATATATATATATATATATATATATATATATATATATATATATATATATATATATATATATATATAATAGTTATAGTATGAAAAAAAATGTATAAATCATCCATCTCCACTAAAAATAAAATCACAAACCCAGCAGCTGTTGTGTATGTCACTGGTGTGGCCACAGCGGCAGCAGGAAATGCATATCTCGTAGCTCCTGCTGGGTAGGCTCCGGCTGCAGCAGCAGCTGCGTACGGTTGACTTGTGACCAGCTTAAAGTGTAGAAAGTGTAGAAATTAACAGGTGAATGTACATTTTTTTAAATGTTATAGCTGAGTATGGTTGACTTGTGACCAGCTTAAAGTGTAGAAAATGTAGGAATTAACAGGTGAATGTAAATTTTTAAAAATATTATAGCTGCATATGGTTGACTTGTGACCAGCTTAAAGTATATAAAGTGTAGGAATTAACAGGTGAATGTACATTTTTTAAAAGGTTATAGGTGCATACGGTTGACTTGTTACCAGCTTAAAGTGTAGAAAGTGTAGGAATTAACAGGCAAATTTAAAAAAATGTTATATCTGCATATGGTTGACTTGTCAACAGCTTAAAGTGTAGGAATTAACAGGTGAATGTAAAAAAAATGTTAAAAAAAAATCGAAAAATTAAATTACAGTTCAACAAAACTTTCTTGTTAGTAAGAAAACAATGAGAGCTTGAATTAATTAATCAAAGTTTGGATTTTGATGATTAAAAAAAAAACTTACTTGATATCCTCTTCCTGCAGCATCATATGCTAAAAATGGATCTTGATAAACACTGAAATTAAAATTTAAAAATTTATTTCCATTACTTTTTTTGCACAATTTTACTGCTCCTAATTGCAAAAAGATACATATATTTTACTGTCACGAATCCCTAATTTTAAATAAGGTCATAGATTTTAAATTCCCATATAATGTTCACATATTTTGAATTCTAATTTAGTAAAACTTTTTTAAGCACAAGCGCTTAGAGTACAGTAAAATCTTACGTGGCGTATGGGATGGCAGTAGGTGCAGCGGCAATGGGAGTGGGGTGCCGGAGCCCAGCTGCCGCCGCAGCTGTGTACACACCTCCCAAACTCCTCGCAGCTACAGCAGCGGCAGCCCTGCCTCTAGTTAACGCAACACCCCTCAAAGCTGCTGCTGTCACGGAATCTACAAGACAAGGAAGTGTACATCATCACACATACATTTTCCCAACTTTAGGCAAAACATATCTAGCGGTTAATTATAAGTTATTTAAAACAATAGTTTTTAAAACAATAGTTAGTGACTATTTTTTATTATGATGATAAAGATTTTTTTTTTTTATCCTACTGGGTAAAAAAAAAATAATAGTCAAGTTAACTTGTTAAGACAGTTCCCTGAATTTAATGGAGATGATCTGTTTGTTATTTTTTCTACACCTAACACAGTGTTGATCAACAGACACGAAAACTCCTACGACAGAATTATTGTTTACAAATAGCCCAGTGGCTAATCAAATAGCAAGCCTAATTATGCAGGTCGTAAATTTTATCAGGATAAAAACTATGCATAAGCAAAGCTTTTATGGAAAGGAAATTGGTTTTTGTTTTTTAATAAATCAATCCCTATGTGTAAGTTATTCATTCAAAACTGCTTGACACCATAAAAGAAACATGCTCTGCTTTTTAAAAAAATTGAATTGAAAATGCTTCTATTTGATCAGGGTTAAGTTTTTCTCTCTTTCAGTCAAAGGTTCTGAGAGGGGAGAATATAGACAATATGCCAGGCTAGCAAAATGACTGTAACCAAAATGCAGAACATATTAATGAAATGTATGCAAAGAAAATATATTAAAATCTGTTTCACATAGATGTAAAAAATACTCATTCACAAAAGTGACCAACATTTCCAAATGCTTGTGGAAAGATAAAAAAAAAACATGCTTCTGGGAACTTTTAAAAATGTCACTGTGTTTTGAATCTCATCCATCTTTTAATCACCCAGAAATTGTATAATACTCTATGTAGCATATATAAATGAGATGAAAAAAAATAAAGATTTGTAATTAAAATGAATGGAGAAAAAGAATTTAAAAAATGAATGGTTTTAACTATTCAGAATGCAAGGACATGAATGAATTTTGGAGAAAAATAAATGCTCTTCTTTTGCAAAATGGCCAAAATGATAATAAGTTCCATTGATAAGTTTATCAATCAATATTTTTGTTAAAGGGTAAGATTAGGGACCTTGCATCTGAATAGAAAACTTAGAGCAGTTAGATAAAGATAGATGTGATGCTTAGGTGGCCTGAGAGTGGTTTGATATCTTACCGGTAGATAGTGTGGGAGCGGTCACCTTTTTGGTCATGACCCGTGCAGTTGCATTGTTAACCTAGCACAGAATCATGGTTTGGGTCAAAATCAAATGCCAATCAAAATGCAGATTTTAGCCACTACCCTTAACTTAAGGGACCATGTATGTTGAAACCCATTTACAGGATACTTTTAATTGAATCTAGTTTTTTTATGTATCCTCAGATAAAAAATTGTTATAATTATTTCAATTTTTTTTTAAAAGTTAAAACCAATCCTCCTCACCCCCACCCTGGCAAAAGAAAATGGTCCCTCATGTTAAGGAGTGAAACTTTAATTATTATTTAATAAAACACAGTAGTGTCAAAAACTAATTATTCTAATAGGCCAGTTTTAGCTTGTTGTGGCAATTACTTTGTGAAGCTCAATAATTTGTTAAAAATGAAAAAAAAATACCCCACTCAGATAGCTACTAAGATTTTTAAAAAGGTTTAAAATAATTGTGTTTTTATAAACTGAATTATAAACTACAAGGAGCTATTGCATGACAATGCACTTTTCCGTTTGAAAAATTCACAAATCTGTTCGTATAATTTACAGATATTATTTTCCTGTACGTACACTGTTAAAACTGCTTGCCGAACATACTGTATCATTTATTTTTAGAATTTTTAAATAAAATTACAGCTTGGATATAAAAAAATATTTCACTTCATAATTTTTTTCTGAACCAAAATATCAGCCATATTTAAATTTAAAAAAAAAGGTCCTGATCACAACAAGCTAAATACAACATGTTATGTAGTCTTAAATTAAATCTACTAACTTAAAACAACCTTTTAATAATTGTTATTTGTACTAAAAAAATATAAAATTAAATAATATTGTATCTGGCCTTGATTTTAAGAAACCCTAACAAACTACAACAAAACTTATCTACGTACATATTATAACAATACAACTTTAACAACTACAACTTCAAACAGCCTGTTAAAAAAAAATAAAATGCTCCACTTTTCTTTAACTCTGATCCCCCTATTCTAAAATACTTTTGAAATTTTCATAATATTTAAAGACCTACCCTTGACAAGCAGGTGTGTCTCCGAGTTCCCATACATTATTACTTCACTAGTGAAAATCAAAAGAACTAAAGTGGGACCTATCCAGTTAATTGTATGTGGTAGTTGCCAGTTGTTAATTTCTTTAAGGTGTCAGAGTATTTCTACACATTTTTTTTTTGTTTAGTAAAAAAAAAACTTCCAGTAATAACTTTTAAACGAATGTACAGCATAAAGAAATGCCATATACACAAAAAGGATAATGCACAAAGATCTACAAAAGAAGAAACTTTGATAATATTGCCATAGCGTGCATTCAGAACAGCTGGGCATTTTGGGAGCATTGCACATGTAAAAATGCACAACAAACATACTTGGCCTTCTTAATATGGCCTTAAGTGCCACAACCTTCCTCTCTCTGGATACAGTAGAATGGGGAAAAAAAAACCAGGTGAAAAAATTTTTGCTTTACGAGGTTTTCAATTTGTGCATGATCAAAAAAAAAATGTTCTTCCTTTTTTTTTACAAAAAAATAAAAAAAAAATTTGTACTGTGTGGTACAAGACATTAACACTTTAACACAAAACAAAAAAGGGGGCAGGGTCTAAGTGATATCTTTATCCTTTGATACAACATTTACGTAGCCATCAAAGACAAAAAAAATATAAGGTGATTCTATAAAGGGAAAAAAAGAAATAATGATATAACAGGCATTTCTCCATACTGCAACACATTGATAATATACTTAGCATTGATTTCAGTTGTGCTAGCACAAAAATGTAAAGTAACATGCAGGCACCTCAATCTTTCGTCCCTCAACCACAGTGCCGTTCAATTTCTCACGTGCTCTGTCGGCATCACCGCTATTTGCGAAAGTTACGAAACCGAATCCCTGCATGCATAAGGAAAACAAGGAGCATGCATTAAACGTGCAATGAAACAGTAACATGATCATCATCAATGTCAGTCAGATTAAGCTAACAAAACAAAAGGAATGTCGTCGCAGGAGTCAAAATGTTACTTAAAAAAATGTTTTAAATGAAAAAAAAAATAATTGTCTACAATTGTTTTATTAAAATCTAAACAAAATGTTAAAAAATGGGAATTAAAAAAATTTTCTGAAAGAAGAAAATGATTATGAAAAGAAATGTCAATGTGTGTGTGGTGTTAAAAGTACAAGCTATTTCTTTAGTGTTTTAGTTTGATCAACACAAGGACTATGTCAGCCATTTTTTTTTTCAAATTTCTACAATTGGGGTACTGAGTTGTGACATGAGCAAAGGGAGAATTATACAACATGCTAACTGGTCTAAGCGACATGCTTCCATGCCACTGGGCACATGTACAGTTAGTTCTCTTTCATCTAGAGTTTAAACTTTTATTTAGCAAGTAGAAAATGTCTACAGCAAGTTTATACTACAGAGGTTGTTTTTTTTTATTCTTGTCAAAAATTGGGTTTTCAATGCCACAATTTGAAAGTGTCATTTCCATTCATTAGAGAAACACAAAGAGTTAGAACTCACTGACAGAAATATTCAGACAAAAAGGCACGACTTCTTTAGGCCATCATAACTTTTTTCTGACAACAATATTCTGTAGCTGAGATATTTAACTCCTGACTATATAGATCATCATTAGTGCCCAGGATAAATGGGGCAGTCCTCCAAAAGTTGTTCAATGTACAAATATTTAGAGATATTTGAACTCAAAATATTTGAGTAATTTCTTCTGAATATTATTAATTCACTTTTTTAGGTTGATAAATTTTCTTTGCATAAGTCATTTGTTTTAGATAATATAATTAGTTATCACTATATTTTTTTTATGTACAAAATGTCCACTGTTGTCACCAGAGGTTCTCAAGATTTTTCCTACAAATTATGACAAAAGCTTTTACAGCAATGTCTAGTCAGGGCTAAAATTTATTAGTAGTATTTCTGCTAAACCAAATCTAATCCAACTTTTTCCAAGTATTTCTGCTAAACCAAACCAAATCCAGTTTTTTTTTTCAAAATCTCTGCCAAATCAAAATCGAATCCAACTTTTTTTACTAATATTTCTGCTAAACCAGATCTAAGCCACCTTTTTTTTTAATAAGTGCTTGGAGGAATAAAAAATCTGGCACTGAGAACCTCCGACAGAACACCTGTCTCTCAGCCTGATGTCTGACAATAACAAGGATATCATCCATGCAGTAAAAATACAGTTTCAACTACACATCATTTCAGGGTTATGTTATTAGTATTGCAACTACTTGAAAACTAGGATAACTTGACAATCTTTAGTAATTATAGCTCAGATGCACACATCTAGGAAAGATTTCACCCAGCATATTTAATCATTCCATTCACATGTAGTAACACTGAACAGTCCATCCACAAAACAAGACGTCCAAGCAGCAAACAAAAATGAGGCAGTTTTTTTTTTTAGTATACACTAGTTGGTCTAATTCCTTTCTCACATTTTTATCATTTTAGCTATTAAATTTTTTATTTTTATTTTAAATTTTTTCTTTTTTTTTTAAATAGACAAATTGTAATTTTAAAAAAAGAAGTTGAATTATAATACAATGTTATAAAAATAAAATAAAAAGCTCTGCACAAATCTATCAAAGACTAATCTGTTTAATATTGGTTAGGTCACAGCTTATTAGTAAGTAAAAGCAGATGTCAGTCGTGATGTGTGCATCACAGAAATGTTAATCACAAGAGGACTATGATTAGGTTTTAATCAAACATTTGTGAGCAAAGGCTTTGTTTTAGTAATCATCAAGCAACTGTGTCAATGTTGAAGCATTTTTTTCAAACAAATGAAATGAATGTAGAAATGGATGTGGAAGTGAATGAGTTGCAAAATGGCGGTCTGGATGATTTTAACAGTTTTAAATTACTAATGAGGAAACTTTTGAAATAAAAATTATCAAATGTGTTTCTTTTTAACCCACCAGCCAAGAATAATAAAATTTTTCAAAAATTTCCTCCAACAACTTATGCACATCTATGTATCATGTAAACCTTTGTAGGTTCTATAATTAAGATAGATGATACAAGCGATTCAGTCAAATTTAAGTACTGATAATATGCTTTTTTACTATAATAATTCGATATAAAATTTGCACTCTTCCTTAAGACTTCATTATGAAATCTTAGCAAAATAGATGTGCATATGTTGAATTTTGGCAAAATATTTCAATGGATTAAAACAGCAGAGATAACTACCACCATTTTTCAATATACATTTTGTAAATTTTACTTGCCCATTTTAATGAATACAAGTACCTTTGCTGTTTTAATAATACATGTTCATATTCAAATACAAGTCATTTACACTAACTTATATTTAATGTATAAATTTAAGTGCATTTACTTACTGTCTTTAAAAAATGCTTAATTTTAATAATTATCAACTAAAATTTATATTACTCAATAAAATGTGAAAACAAAGCATTAAACAAATATTTAGGAAATGAGAAAAAAAAATTTCCTTTCATAAAAAGAAGTTTTTAATTTTTTTTTAGATCTTTTTGAATATGGCTTAGTTGTGTTTCTTTGCACAAGCTGCTAAATCATTTTTTAGAAAAAATTTTATTTAGGCTTTAAAATTTAGTTTTGATAAAACATTTTTTTAATAAGTTTTCCTAAATATTTAACAGCAAATGTATGTTACATTTAAATCCATGGATTAGCTGATGTCTGAAGTGCAGCATCTCTGAACAGGAAGAGCACTTACATAAATTAGATAACATTAGTGTAACACTGTTACTGCTATGGTTCCCACTACCCGTATAAAAACTCTGACAGGTTAAAATATCTGTTGTTTTATAACTGAATGGACAAGAACCTTGCCAAACCATACAAGAGTACCTTGCAACGGTTTAAACAGTCATACTGTATATAACTGTTACTGTTGAAAGCATACAACTAGGGGTATTTAATTAAACTACTTTATTCTCCTATTTTTTAACATACATTTGCTGTTGTTTAAAACTTTATTAAATATCCTGAACATCCTTTTAAATTATGGTCAAGATACTTTATTATTTGCAAACAAAACTTACCTTAGAGCCTCTCTCATTAAAGATTATTTCCACATCTAATATTGTACCAAATTGCTGTGAAAAAAATGCAATATAATTTCAAATTTTATAATTATGTATATTATGATATTTATAAAGATTTCAATTGCTATAGGATTTTGGCTAGTAAGAATATACTTTCCAAAATGGGCAGGCTAACAATAACATTCTTATGACAATTATAAAAGAACTGATAAGTCATTGTTTAAAGTTGATAACAAACCCCAAGTAACTGTCTGAGATCTGCCTCCCTGAACCTGAATGGTATGTTGGATACATGTAACCTCTTGGGGCCTGTGTTGGGAGAGATGGCACCACTTGTTGGTGGTATTGACGACACCTCTCCTTCTGAAGGTTGAAGTTCACTCTGTGGTTAAAGAAATAAATCTATTACAATATGCACTAAGTTATTGTTTCAGGAACAATTAAATTACATATAACTTCAATATTTCATTTAAATAGTTTTCCATTGCAGAAAAATTATTCAGCATTACAGTATAGTATGAAATTATGAAATATTTATTTGCATTGTATCTCAACACAATTAAAATCAATAAATTGATTTGGAAAAGTTTTTTTATACATGTATAAAACAATAAACAAATTTGAGAAATGCATTTAAAAAATTAGTTGCAACTCCGGAAACTATAGTAATTAAAGTTAGTGACCATATGCAACAATAGAAGTTGTTAAAAAAAAATAAAAGATCAACACCAAAAGACTGTAAAAATCCACTAAGACAATAAGTACTCAGGAAGAGCTGTGTTATACTGGCACCACTACAGTAGCTATGTAGTGCATGACACTGCCATCATAGAATTTTAATGGAGGAAAATAGCATTGTAAACTAAAATTAAATAAACATCACTTAGATGTGCATGTAACCAAACTACTTTAAAGACTAAATAAAAACAATAATTTAGTAATAGTCTAGTTAAAAGTTTTTTTTTCTTCAAATTTAGCACATTTTTATGTTATTATTAAAGAAGATAACTTGGGACAAAGATTGATTTCAAGTAATACATTAAGCTAGTCTTTAAAATTTATAAAAAGTGTTTTATATACATAATTAGAAAGTAAATTTTAACAGGATTTTTGTTAAAGTTTCTAAATGTCAATAATACAAATAAAAGTTTGAAATGTCAACAATAACCAAGTTCACATAATAGAGGGTGAAGTTACGACACGTTTACGTTAAATTTTACAGAAGATCAGATCAAAATTATTATTTTGTTTTCATAAAATATAAAATGAATTCAGTATTTTTTAAATATATTGCTTCAAATCCTTTATTGTTGTTACTTTTAGATCATTATTGCTCTTTCAAATATAGCATGTGTTCTGTTAAGGCAATAATTATTTTACAAAAACTACATAATTGCAGAGAAATGTTAGGTGAAACTGTTTTTCGTTTCCCTAAAACATAAAAATAGTGTGTATCAAGCTCAACTATAGAAAAAAAACAATTACAGCTTACTATAAGACACAGGGTATTAGCTTGTAAACAGTAAAAAGGGCAATGAAGGTTTTTATTTTCCTAAGAGACAAGAGGAACAAGCAGTTATTGAGACTACTATGACAAGCTGAGGTGAAACCCTGCAGTACTGCCACACATTTTCTACTTGTCACTACACTACACTACTCATCTACACTGCTATTTAAACCAGTGGCTGTTTAAAAAGCACAACTCTGTTTTTGTAAAGAGAATAAAATCAAAATTAAAAAACATCAGAAAATTGTGTAGGCAATACTGCAGAACAAGATGCAAGCATTATAATAAGATGGTCAAGAAACACCCAACCGAAATTGTTTATATATTGATGCAAACCTCGGACACTGCTTTGAGGTCCCTCAGCCAGAGGCTCTTTTGTGCCTCTCTCAGGAACTGAAGAGGAAATATTAGGACATTGACGACATCTCAACAGACACAGCAAAAATTGCAAACAGATTTAATGCAATTGGTATAATAAATATAATTTTCATTGAGAAACAAACATGACAAAGATTAAGTACCAAAATTTTATGGTCCAAAACTAAAGTATTTAATGAAATAAATTTTTTTATGTTGCAACATAAGGACTGAATAACTTTATAGATAAAATGTAAATGGAGATCTACTAAGGATAAGATATTACTTTTTTTTTTTTTTTTTTTAAACAGATTTTTGTTTGGATATTATTTTATTTTTTAAATGAAAATTTACAGAAACCAGTTTAAAGTTTAAAGCAACATAATATGTTTGACATCAAAAGTTGTACTAGAAAAGTTGATGAAAGGTTAAAAAAACCAGTGTAAGTAAAAAGTGAAAAAAAAAATAAATGTAAAAATTAAAACAATCATACTGTGTTACCAGTGGCAATCTGTAGAGTTACTGTTAACTAGCTAAAACTAAAGTGCAAGCTAGATTACAGTAATAACATATGTGATAATGGTAGTTTTAGCATAACACAGAGAACATCAACAGAACACTGAAGAACAGAACCCTCAATAACATTAATTAACAAGGACTCTCTAAGATACAACCCACCTCACAAAGCTGATTTAAAGTTAGCCAAACACTGAACTGTGATGATAGACGTATAATCTTGCTATTTATAATTTATTTCTATTTTCTCTGAATTATTATAAACATTATTATTATAAGAAAGTAGCTTTCATTATGAGAATAATTTTCATTAAATTGTAATGATGTTCTTTCATTTTACAGTACTAAACAAGCTATCAGACTAACATAGCATTTCAGGTTCTGTTTAATAATTATGCTAACTTTTCCATTTTTATAGAATGTTTAAAAACAGAAATCACAAAAACAAAACAAAACTACTATTTTAAAATTGAAGTAAATTTACTATAAAATATAAAACTAGAATTCAATGTTGTGCAAAGCAATACTTTTAGATGATTAGATCAGAACCTAGCAACATGCACTAATTTCATGCTTTACATAGCTAATAAGATGCTATTTAAATTAAAGCCAGTTAAAAGAAGTAAGTTATAATTTCAGTAAACTTATTGTTAACATTTGGAGAGTTATAATTATCACAATTAATGCCCAATGCTCCATAAATGTCCATAAGCACAAGATTCTTTTCAGCAAAAGTAGTCTAAAAATCTGATTTAAGAAAGACATCTAACAAAAATGTCATAGATTACAAACAAGATACCAAAAAAAAAAAAAAAAAAAAACAGAATAAAGAAAGCTTTTGATTAATTCATGCCTTGTCTTTATATTTTCTTTAATTATTTTTTCTCAAATAAATTTAGTTTGTTAAGTCCTGATCTAAAGTAAAGCCAAACATGCTGGCCGGTGTTTTTTTTTTAAAGATGTTTTTTTTTAAAAAAAAAAAAGCATCAGTGGAGCAAACAAAATTTAATGGAATATTCTTTTGATAAGTTTGAGGAAAATTTAAAAAAGGGAATTATCAATTCACATTTTAAGAATGTGGTATTTTGAATTGAAACATTGTAATTTGTGTATTTAAAACACAATAATTATTTAATAAAAAAAAAACATGAAAAGGGTTGTAACTTTTTTGAGGGAATAAATATAAACATGAGCAGCGCTTACCGCTTGCTGATCTGCTGTGCCATTGGATGTGACTGGTGTTGTTGTGTATATGGTTTGACCACTGGGCTCTGATGTGATGGCTGAAACAGCCACACCTTGTATACCAGCTAGACCGGCTGCAGACCCGGCTGCAGCGGCGGCTGCCTGGCTGGCGACAACCTGGTGGTACTCCTCAAGGCTGGCAGCTTGAGGGTATGTGTATGTTGGGGTCATCTGGTTCTGGACCATATGCTGAAACAGAAATTTAACATTTATTGGACTGGATTCAATTTAAAAATTTTACTTTTTTAAACATTTAAATCTATAAATAGAGTTGAATTAAAAATAAACTTCATTGAAATCATTTTCTTAAACCTAGTCCTGGTACTTTCCTCATACAAAAATCTGTTTCACTCACCCACATTTTTATCTGATATATAAATAAAAACTGCTCAAACTGAGCTCCAACCAAGGGGATGGATTTAGGTGATTACTGGCAAACACCACACTGTGCTTGACATTTTATTGGGAATGTACCAGAATAATAGCATGGGGTTTGTTTCAAATAAACCAACTCTTTCTCTTGAATGCCAGGGAGGCAATCATACTAAATTACACCCTAATTTCATGTCATTAAAACACTCGGCCTCACCCCTGTAAAGACTGCAACTAACAGTAATAGATTATATGAGAAATGGGGTGGTGAGTGTCGCTGGGCACAGCTTGCTATGACTAATTATTGCTATGGTGAGCATTCTCTTCAAACAAAAGGCTGTTAATCAAAACACGCTGGTCACATTAAGGGCATGTGTTGCCTTCACTGTCATTTTCTTTTGACATTTAGCTTTCATAAACAATATTTTTTCATAATTGGAAATCCAGATTATCAACATGGACAGTCTTTATGTTCCTTTCTAGTCAAGCTTATCTTAAAATGCATTTCATATTTTTATAAATAAAATCAACTGTTCACAGAAGAAATATATACAAGTACACCAATTATGTAGAGAACATACTTTAATGTATAAGCCCTACATTCTGTGCTTATTTCAATAATAAATATGAAAGTCAATCTTATAACTTATGTTTGAGTATGAGCAACAATCAAATTTGAGAAATACATGCACAATTGTAAGTCAAGCAGTGTATAAAGTATTGAACGTTTTTTTTAGACATTCATGACTAATCTTTATTTAAAATAGTAATAAACATGCATCTAAATAAGTTTTTTGGACTGTAAATTTAAAACAATTATCAACATTTCCAAAGCTTGTTAAATTAACATGATCAACCATTTTGTTGGTGAAACCTCATTTACATATCTATTACATCCCCTAAATTAGATGCATATAAAAGCTAGATCTAAGTGCTCAGGTTATGGTTAAGTTAAGCATTGTTAGAGTGTCAGTTACTAGAAATCTGATAACAGAAAAGCAGCTATCAGAAAATTACTGGGCCTGTTGTTTTAGTTTTTTTAGGCCCTAAATAAGATGCAGAGTTAACTTTTAATTTGAAAATTTTCATTTAAATAAACACTAACACAGTGTAACTATTTGGCCTATCTAGACTATCTACACATCTATTCTAGATCTAGATTGACATGTGAACTCGTAACAAGGTAGGCCTACTTAAATGAGATTTTAAAATATCAAATATTATAAACAAAACTATTAACCCTTTAGAATTCATCAGGCTAATGTAATTTATTGTAATTAGTACTTATATCTAACGCCAAGGGGCGTAGCGAGCGGGGGCGGGGGGTGCGGACCGCACCGGGTGACACCATTTAGGGGGGTGACACCAAGGCAAAAAATAGCAAAATATATAGAGAAAAACTTGAGGGGGGGTGCAAATCGAAAATTTGAAAGTTTGTCCCAGGGAAGGGTCGCTACGCCTCTGGGGGGTGACACCATTAAGTGCCGCACCGGGTGAAACCCGACCTCACTACGCCACTGCTAACGCCCATCTTCCTTTCACTTTAGAATTCAATAAAATGTATGGTTTAACATCTATCTTAGCCTACACAATAAAATAAGTACATAAGCAACAGATCTTTTTAAAAATATCAACCAACCAAAAAGCATGTTTCATTAAAAAATAAAAAGAAGCTGGCTAAAAGACTGAAGATGTTATCTTAACACTCTAGTCTATATCTAGCTTCTGCACCTGAATTGTTTTTTAGAGCTATAGGTAGACTAGATCTAGATATATCTAGGCCTGCTAAAGTTCAAGTAATATACACGTTTAACTTTGTGATAAAGTTTATCATCGATCTAGATTTTAGAGATCTAGAATTAGATCTAGATGTCCTAGTAGTGGGATGTAGATTCTAGGCCTAGCTTACACAGCGCCTTTATTAGTAGATCTAGAATCTAGATTTTTAAAAATCTATTAGAACTAGAATCTAGATCTAGATTTGCGACTTTACCGCATTTTATTTCGGATGCTTGAAATACGAATATCGATTTACGTGGACGCATTTACATTACAGAAACATAGACACACTACAATTTATTAATTTAGACGGTTTACAGCTGTTGGAATCAAGAATCTGTCTAGATCTACCTTGTCTTGGAGATTGGATCTAGATCTAGATATCTATTCTAGATCTATCTACTTCCCGATACTAATAAAATGACCAATTTGTATATTGAGTCTAGACTGCGTATAAAACCTAGTGGAATGAAAATTTTCAGTTATTCGAATTTTTCTTTAATAATACGCATGCTACACGCGTAGGCCTAAATCGAGATCGAAAAATTTTAAATTTAGATCTATTGCGACTCAACTCTTTAGCTACCGTCGCTTTGTAGCCCGCAGTAGTAAAAAGCACTGGGTTCTAGAATCTAGATCTAGATTTCTAGATCAGAGCGATTTTAACATTTGAGTAGGCTTACATACATTCTACCAACCATCCTTCATTTTCTCGTAAGTCTTTGTTTCCTGTAAGCAAGTAAAATAGAGACTTGCTGTGCTGACTTCTCGTTAAACAGTTTAATTTCAGTCAAGTTTTTTTTTTAAACTTAACGAGAACTTTTTTTTACTTTAAATCTAGCCAGCTGACACATTTTTAAACCAAGAAAAATAGGCGTACACTTATTTCCTATCCGTGATTTAAAAAAAAAAAACCATTTTGTGAGGGTTAAAAAAAAACGGGACAAAGTCACCCCAGTTCGTTGTGATGAAACAGCAAGAGAAAGTTAATTGGGTATGCATTATGTATAATAAAAGCTATGGGCGAACAAAATCAATGGGTATTCATAATGACTACATTTTTTCCCAATGTTCATGGCTTATAAATAGTAATTAGCTAATAAAATATAACCTATAACGCGAAAGAGTGTAGCGACGGATGCTGAAAATGGAGCCGAGTTGGTTAACTTTAATTTTGTGACAGAGGTTATCATAAAAAAAACAACAACTTTGACACGGGATTTCAAAAATAAACGGACAAGGACCAAAATGTTATTTCTCGTAGCTTATGAATTTAGTTTATGAATGATGTTGTTGATATGATACTAAAAGGATTAGTGGGGGGGGGGGGGGGGGGAGTTTGATGGTTTTAATACGGTAAGATGCTTCAATGTAATTGTAATGACTGGAAATATTAAGACGTGTACAGTATGTTTCTGAAATCACGTGGATACATCATAAAATAAAACACAACCAACAACAAACAAGAAAGACTGTATCATCTTCACCTTGGCCAAGATAACGCCTCCAACTGAAGGTAAGTGGTCATGGCGCAGCCGTGGTAGTCCAGCTATGGGGTGCAAGCCCCCCTTCACGATCATTTTCATCATCATTAGTGAGTTTACGAGATCCTTCACAGGGGTTTAACAGAAGGTGTAGGCTAGCGCTGCCTTTAAAGTCTAAGATACATGGAGCGGGGTAATTATATTCTTGGTGGTGGCGCCGAGAAGGTTTCTGGCAATTCGTTTGAACGCACAGTAGTCAATATACAACAAAAAAGTTTATTTTAATCTGTAATGGTACAATAATAATTACCCGAAACAATGAAAGTGTATTAAGTATTTATTTTTTTTGGAAAATCGATCGAAAACGAGAGTCAACCGGTCGAGGGTGAATAGTTTAGAATGCAGCAACACCCAGCTAAACAGACGCATTTATCAAGTGTGCAACAGATTGCACTGACTGCGTGACTCTTAATTACAAAGAAAACAGCTGGGTCTCTCATTAGCAATTAGCATTCTATGATACTAAAGCGCAACATGTTACGCTTTCCACTTGGCCGATAACAAAGAGTTAATGGCCACGCAGAATGAACTCGAATTTATGAGGCCGCGCGAGGAATATTTTCAATTAACACATGTTGAATGTTACTATAGCCTAGTACACGGATGTTTAAATATATATTCACAGAATAACTACACGAATAAGAACAAGAGGTTTGTATTCCAGGAAACAAAAAAAACAAAACATTAAAACTGAACAGCGGTCGTGCTGGAACAAAGAAGATTAAAGAACTAAATCCATGTAGAGTCACTGGTCAGTGCGGAAGGAAGAAATCGATAAATCACTACACACGATTACACTGTACGTTATCTTCTGCTTCAGGCAGCCACAGTACGTCCGCAAGCAACACGAAGACACAACACTCTACCCCCGGGCCCGGCCGTTGAAAATGGCTTGGAATTATGCATACATCCCAGTTCTGCCAAGTGGTCTGGTCGCAGAGCCGATCCCCACACGAAAACCCACGGACGCCGAGACCAAGATCAATACAGACACCCCCTTCTGTCGGGCGAAGACAGCGGCTCCGGCGGCGATTCCTGGCCAAAGAAACCCCTAAAACGGCTCCACGATCCCAAGTCTGTGTAATCCAATCAGGAGAACCAATGACATGTTAATGAAACTTTCTCCGGGAGAAATAGACTTTTTCTCTCTCTCTCTTTAAATCCATTAAGTTATTTATTTTTTTTTAAATTTCAGTTGAAAAAGACCAACCATCCATTAGGGCAGAGTTAGCATGCGGTATAATTACTGAACAAAACACTGTACACGAGCACAGAGTAAATAATTATGTCCGTTTAAATCCCCTACCGAGACTAGGCTAGAGGTTTGAAAGGTTATCGGTCCGAGGGGAGAGTTTGTACAAACACGCGGCTCTTCTTCTCAGCCTCCACCCCCCTCCCCCTTAGCCTTTACGCAGCAGCGGGGAGATCAATACAACACACGTACAGCCGTGAGCTGACATCTGCAGCACGCGTCCTAACAGTGGGATGCTCCTT